CCATAAGGCAGAACACCCAGCTCGCGATGGGCAGTTCACGCCAAGGGCGAATAGTCCCTATCGGGCTCCGCGCCCGACTGAGCACCTTCGCTCCATATGCCCGACAAGTCGTCAAGAATGACGGGCCATCTAAAAGGGTCAAAGGGAAGTCTCTCCCCTCGAACGCAACACTTAGTTGACTCCGGCCAGCGAAAGAGGGCCGGGCACATATACAAACGGAAGGCGGGCAGATTTGCTCGCCAAAACACAGCCGCTTACGGGCACGCCTCGGGCCCATGACTTGGGCTAAAATTTTATGCAAATATATAAGATTTCAAGCAAGGGCGAAACATTCAAAATGTAAAACAGCATTCAGATAAAAATGCCCGAAGGCGACAAAACAATTATAAAACGACCAAGAAGGCCGGCGATGTTCATAACGTACAACAAATGGGCACGCAGGCCCAAAGAATACAAATGTCAAAGGCACGCAGGCCCGCTATCCTAGTCAGGTTTCCCCAGAACCATCATTGTCGACGACGGGAGAGTCGGGCGGAGGAACGATCACGCCATCCACGATCCGATGTGTGTGGCCGATACCCTCAGTGACCAGACCAGGGTTTAACAAGGAGAGCTGACCGACTGCGGAGTCGAACCCATCCTCCAGAGCACCGACGCAATCTTCCTCGAGGAGCCGGATATGGGCGACCAGCTCCGATCGACTCTTCAAAGCCGCTATGTCCTCCGGCTCGTCCTCAGCAGGTTGCATGGCAGCGTTCATTTCCTCGATCCGCTGGGCCAAGCGTCCGACTTTGGTCCCCAGACGATCCCTGTCTGCACGGAGAAGTTCCCCCTCCTCGGCCAACTTCCCCGACTTTTCCTTCTCCAGGGTCAACATCTCCCTCTCAGCATCCAGCATCGCCGTCTGCTCGCGGAACATCTCCTCGGAGCGTTCCAAAGCGGTCTTCAACTTCCGCGAGCTCGAGGTAAGGGCCGCCTTTTCCTGCTCGAGTTCTTCGATACGGACAGGATCCCCTCCTTCCTCTGATAGCACCAGGGCCATCTCAGCCATTTTCACCAGCCCGTCCATGCTGGCGGCCAGATACATCTTCCGATCCTCTTTGCTCATCCTTTTTATAGCTTCAGCCTCGTCGGCAACCACCGTCAGAGGGAACCTCTCGAAGAAGCCCTCCTCTTTGAAGCAAGGGGGGGAACGCGAAAGACCTGACGGCACTGGCGTCCTCGCCAACAGTCGGACCACTTTCCACACGGGTCCTCTTCCTCTGCATCAGGACGGCACTAGGGTCGACCTCTTCAACTTCTGGGGTCCCATCCGACGCGGCCCCCGAGCTTGGCGGCGAGTCCACCCTCACCGGCTGAGGAGCACTTGGACTGTGTGGCGGGCCCATCCTCGTCGCCTGTGGGGCCTTCACGACCCTCATGCCTCGCTTCTGGTCACAAGACAATTTCAAAAGCCTTTCATGTCGACCGGCCATCGAACCTGCACAAAATAAAAGATGGGTTAGTATCGAGCAAGCTCATAAACAAATGACGAGCAAAGAAATTCAAGCAATAAACAACCTAACAGACGGGCAGCCTGCCTGTACGTCTGGCACTCCACGAGCGCCTTGGTATCAATCGGCCGGGACTCAAACGTTGGGTTACCATCTGCGTCCAAGATATCGTCCCCTTCCCTCGTAGCCCACCGGGCAGGGTGGAAGCTATCGATAAACCGATAAAGTGTGGCGTACGCCTCCTCGTCCTCCGAGCACATGTCCCCGGCAGCAGTGTGGTAGTAACCAGTCCCATGCTCGTAGTGCCTGAATATCCAATGCACAGGGAACTTAGCCGTACGGGCCAACACAGGATTCCCATCGTCGCCCAGAACCGCCTCCCCGTCATCATAGGTTAGGGGCTCCTCCTCCTCGTAAAGAGACCCTAAAGCCGAGCTGGTAACTGGCCGCACAACGTACCACTTGTCTTTAAAACCCCTTACGGAGTCCATATACATTTTGAAGAGTCTCCTCGACTGCTTCAAGGAGACCCAGCTGTGTTTCCCTCCTCGAGACTGGCGCTGCAGATGAAAAATCCGGAAGAAGAGCGGTATGGTCGCCCCGATCCTCAGATAGCGACACGTCAGCTCAAACGCCCGGATGAAGGCGAGTGAGTTTGGATGTAGCTGGGACGGGGCCAACTCCAGGTGAGTGAAGACCCCGACCTGGAAATCAATGAAGGGCAGCTGCAGCCCAAGATCTTTGAACGCGATCTCGTACATCGCGAAGCTATATTCTGGATACACCGAGCAGATCCTTGAACGGGAAGACGGGCGCATGACAACGAAGTTCTTTTGGAAGTCGGGCTGGCCCTGGCCCGCTTCGATGACAGCATATGGATTTCGGTCGCCCCGGCTGTAGATCGACGCGATCCCTCGGGGCTCGACGCCCACCCAATCCAGCAAAGGGTCGGTCACAGTATCAATCAGGCTGACCGACTCATCGGCACTTTGTTCTTCACGATCGTGGCGCCCGGAGGAGCACGACTCGTCCGCCATGGTTACCTACAGAGCACGGGAAACCAGTCAATTGGGGCACGAAGCCATACGCTCGACAAACCATGTCGTCCCACGCTCGACCACATAGTCAGTTTACACGAGTAGTTGCCTCCCCGACATCTTGAAACTTGATGTGTTCTTCCTCAAACCAACTACGCGACCACTCTCCAACATGTCGACCCAAGGTATGAGCATGGCGAGCCACATCATGAAGCCTACGGCCAAGACCATGAACATACCGGGCGCGATCATGAATCAGGCGCCCTGGATCATGAAGACCCCGGGCAGCGCTGAAGTTTATCACCTAAAACTATGAATATGTCGACCACAAACATGCGTTTGCCGGTCCTAAGCATGAATATGTCGAGCCAAGTATGAGTTTACCGGGCAAAACCCACGCGCACAGTCCCTAAAACATCTACAAACGCCACAAATCATGCATTTTAACAGGAAAATGAAGAAGATAAACCACTTACTTGGATCAAAAAGTAGGATTCAGCTACGGAGTAGAAGGATCTGTAACAGAAGATCGCGACTGGGAAAAATCTGGAAGAGCAACAGCAGAGAGAGCACAAAGAATAGAAACGTGTTATGGGGCCCAAGGTTCCTATTTATAGTGATGACGTGGAATACCAAACGTCACCTCGGGCAATCACGGAGTCTCTCTCCCCGACGCGCTGCTCCCAACGCAATGATGACCCTATCCCCATAGGGTGGCGACACAGTTCCCGAGAGATACCTCGTATGCTCGACAGACGCGCCCCGGTGAGGACCCTCCAGGTATCCACCGCGGAAGATGTCTCCGAGCACGGCACGAGGAGGCCCACGAGGGTCTGCACCTCTGTCCCGGGCACGAGACCTCGATGAGGAAACGACCTGAGTTCAAGCCATGGCTCCTCACAAAGGAACCACGACTTGGGGGGCTCCTGTTCTGGACTGGGCCCGACAGGCCCAAAAGCATTGCAAAGGCCCAGTCCAAATGGACTTACAAGGGCCACGCCGATCAAAGAGCACGACTGTGCCCGACGGGTAGTCGCAGGCCCGACAGCACACCTCCAGCTCGACATGCTGCGGTCCAGCACCACATCCTGAGGTCCAGCTCGACATTACCTCGAGCACCCCATCTAGGGCAGACTCAGTCCACTGTTCCCCCAACGATACCCCGAAAAGACCGCGCCTCCGTCCACCCGCACTTCACGCAGAACATCCAGGAAGGGGACCACGTGCGGGTCCCCACTACGCACATAGAACTTGGCAGTTCCTCCATTGGGCCAAACCTGCCCCGCCCAATGAAGGAACCTTGGCTCAGCGCTGGGGGCTATAAATACCCTCTGCTTCCAGAGGGTCAGGTATTCATCATTCTAACCTTACACTTGCTATTATCTGCTCGTACTCCTACTTACTTCAGCATCGGAGTGCCTTGCAGGTACCCCCCCCCACCTCGTTCAAAAAGCTTTCTGCTCGGAGCCAGCCGTGACGGTCCATTTCTGATCAGATCAGATCAGCATGGATAACCAAGTTAAATTTAGTGTGTGAACGTACAGGTAACCAAGTCAAAATCTGTGTGAACATACATATAATCAGACTAAAATCTATGACAATGCATATATTATCATATTTCTGTACAATTAAAAAAAATAAAATTAAAAAAATTTAAGTTAATGTATAAACTCAAATACGAGAAAAATATATTCCGTTTTAATTATTTATGTATCTGATATTTTTATTTTGAAATTGTTTTTAATTTAAAATACAAAAATATTTAAGATAATTAATAATTAATTATAATATATATTATTAATGTCTTTTTTTTAAAATTAATAAATTTATACAATTTTAATATTATTTTAAAAATATATCTTTTATTTAAATATTTATCTTTGATTAACTTATATATTTATTTATTTATTTATTTTTACAATTAAATTTAAATATTTTTTATTATATTTAAATTTTAAAATTAAAATAGTAACGATTCCGCCTGTTTATATCAGTACCGAAAGAAAAGTCACGACAGCCTCGGAGGCTCCTAGTCATACTCCGCAATTCCACACAAAAAAAAAAAAACCAAAGGAAGAGTTTGAGTAGAAAAAGAAAAGTAATTAATTATAGATAATACTTTTAATCATTGTTTCGTCCTCACTGATTCAACTCGCATACAAACACGAAACGCACTCAATTCAACTTCTCCGCAATCCTTTTCCGGTCAATTTTCCCGCCGTTTCTTCAACGTCCGGCGTATTCTCCGATCCTCCGACCACCGCATGTAAGCATCTCGGTTCCGATCTCTCTTACCTTTTGATTCTCGAATTTTCACATCGCTATGATTTCTCAACTTTTATGTTTCCATGATCGAATTAGGGTTTCGGTGTCTGATTCTAGATCCCTAGGTTCCAATTCCGTTTTTCCGTTACTTATTTATGTTTTGGTTGATCGTGAATTCAACAGAAGGAGTAGAAAATTGTGAGCAATGAGTAACGTCTTCGAGGGATACGAACGCCACTACTGCGAACTTTCAGCTAATCTATCCAAAAAATGCACTGCCGCTACTGCTCTTAATGGAGGTACTTTTCTTTTCTTCTGCTATTCTGCTATTGATGCTTCCGGGTTTCTCATCATGATTATAATGTTTCTATCCAATTCGTTAATCTCGTGCTGCCCTAACATTCTGTCTAATATTATTGTCATTTATAATCTTATCCTGACTAGTCTTCTTACCGCAGGTTCAACGCAACATTCTCATCTCTGCTACACTTATTTTATTCTCGTATCTAATATTACTCTAATGTAATTCAAATTCAAATACCTTTTTCTCTAAAGGTTTTGCAAAACCTAATCATGTATTGTATCTATGTCCTTTTCTAAACAATGCAGATCATCTGTAGTTCATTAGTAAGTATATGGTTTCCATAGCTGGTATCCCCGAAATAAAACTAAATTGATTTTCTCGGATGTTGGTCTTTTTGTCTAAATCTCCTTGAATTACTCTCTTTCTCTTGTTAAGCCTCTTAGTATGATTTGTGAGTAGAGTTCCTCTACAATCCACATGGTTTGGCATGTCACTTTTGTTCTTGACTATAGGGGGATTAAAGTACTCCTCGGTTTAGTTAATTTGTCGATGCCCCTTGTTTTTTTTCTTCTTTTTGTCAATTGATTGGGTGGTTGAAGCATTCTAATGCGTTCATCATAATGTGAATTCTAATACTCATTTTACGTGACAAGGGTGATCACTAGCAGTCCCTATGAACGCTAACATACTCATGAAATAATATCTTAATTCTTGAAGCAATAACTATAGGAAAAATCAAACTTATGATTTTTCTTGGAATAATATATATTTAATTATAATTGTCATTTTCTGTTTGATCTGCAGAGCAAAAGAAACAAAAAGTTTCTGAAATAAAGGCTGGAATTGATGAAGCTGAAGCTTTGGTACTTTTTTTTCTTCTTTTGGAAAACTGGTTTTTTTCTGTCTTTCTTGTAGACTGGGATTTCAATATAGTTGTTTTAATGAATTTCTAGATTCGAAAAATGGACCTTGAGGCAAGAAGTTTGCAGCCAAATATCAAGGGTGTACTTCTTGCTAAGTTGCGGGAGTATAAATCAGATCTAAACAACCTTAAAAGTGAAATTAAGAAAATTGTATCTGGAAACTTGAATCCTTCTGCACGGGATGAGTTGTTGGAATCAGGCATGGCAGATGCTATAACGGTATGATTCATTTTCCATTGTTCTTTTTTTATGCTCTCATAACTGATTTATTATGCTGTGAAAATACTGTGACGAAACGATCTGATGATCCCCTTTCTTTGTGATTGCATTAGGCATCAGCTGATCAGAGGACAAGATTAATGACCTCAACTGAGAGATTGAACAAGACTGGTGAACGGGTTAAGGATAGTAGGAGGACAATGCTGGAAACCGAAGAGCTGGGTGTTTCTATTCTCCAAGATTTGCATTCACAGCGACAATCTCTATTGCATGCACATAACACGGTAATCTTTTATATTTCTTGTTTATGATTATGATGTGTTTCTGGTTCAACTAGAACATGCTTCATTTCCTGTACAGTAATTCCTATATGCATACTCTGTTTATGATTAATGTTTTATTTCCATGCTTATTCTTCTAAATAAATAAAAAAATTCAGTTTTAGTTCTAGGAATGTTGGGCATATTGGTTATTCAGGTTTTAGATCCAAAAGGCTATACGAGCTAACATATTATTGTTTATGTGTTTCTTACCTCTTAGTTAATAGCTTACTTTAGTATAGTTGGATCATGAACTAATATTAACTCACATTGTTTTTGAACTTTGAGCAACAATATTAACCGTTGTTTTCTCCAAATCGTAGTGGTGAAAGTATCCCTTTAATTTACTGATGCTTATATGCCCACATGCAGCTTCATGGAGTGGATGATAACATAGGAAAGAGCAAGAAAATTATGACAAACATGTCAAGAAGGATGAACAAGAACAAATGGATCATTGGCTGCATTGTGCTTGTTCTGGTTGTTGCTATCATCGCGATCCTATACTTCAAACTTGTTAAATAGCCAAATGCCTATTTTTCTTCATAATGGTTATAAATATCACAAGATTCAATGACATTTTTTGTTCCCTTTGTCTTATTCTGATTTGTGAGTGGGCAGAAAAGATGTTGCATTGTGCAGTGCTGCAAGCTAACTTGGTTTCTTTCAAGGGAGACAGCGTTCACTTGAGTCTTATGCCGGGGTTGTAATGTATGAAATTTATATTTTTGACCTATTGTTGCATGATTTTAATCATGAAACCAGAAATCTTTGTGGCCATACTGTTTGAATTTAACTGATATTTGCCTCTAATCTATCTTAGTAAGTAATGTTTGCTACTTGACAGTGCAGTGCTGTTGATAACAATGTTTAAATTAACAAGGAATGCTGATAAAACTTTAACCTGGTTTTCAGAATAGGCTGTAGAAAAGAATCTCTAAAGAAGCTGTTGGAAACATGCATATGAAATACTCTTGACTACGTTTTTGCCAATTTTAATTATTCCAATGAGTTGAGAAGATCCTGAGAAATCTTGCTTTGCTCTACATTAAATTTAGAGCCCTTATAATTCCGTTTTTCTTTTTAAATATATGATTTTCAGCGATACATATTTTTGTTTAAAAAAATGGAATTAATTGTTTGTCATACACTCTATTAATAATTAAAATAATAGTCAAATCTAATTTAAAATTCAACGATTATTATTTATAAATTTATTTACACTGTCAGTGTTCCAATTAAATTTTAAAATAATTTATAAAATTTATAAATAGAAAATAGAAAAAATTCGAATGAAAATTTTGATTAGTTAATTTTTAAAATGTTATTTTAAATATTTTATCATTTTAGTGATTTTTTTTTTTAATATCAAAGTTTCAAAAAGTTATTTAATTTTGAAGTTATCTTAAATAGTTTATCATAAAAATTATTTTTGAAATATATATATATATATATATATATTTTTTAAAGTTGCAATTTTAATTATATTTTCATCTTTAATAATATATTCGTATGTTTTAAAATGTCAAAATTAATCATTTAATTAATAAAAAATAAATTTTAAAAAACTTAAATATTTTAAAATTATTTTTATAAAATTCATTTTTAAAAATATAAAAAAAAATCTATTTTTTAAAGTTAAAAAAAAAACAAAGAGATCTTTAATTGTCTTCGGACAAAAGAAATAATATTGTGAGTAAGTCTTATTTATATAGTCACAAGACAATGGCACATGTCTTGGGCACACACAAAAAAGTAAAATACATGACTAGTTTTTTTGATAATTTTAAAGATAATGAAAGAAATAAAATATATAATTAATATGTTTGTGAATGTGTCAAAAAAAATTAACATTTGGTGTTCTATCTATATAAGAATAGCTCTAATATTGTTAACTTGTGTGTGTGTGTAAATTTACACTGGTTATATAAAAAAAAAATTGGTTGTGTTGGTAGGATGTTGAAAATAAATAAAAGGCTAAATAAATTTTTGATCTTTGTAAAATTAATTCATAAAATATAATTTTTATTAAAACTTTATTTATGTTTACTTTCAAAATTAAAATAACTTATATTTGACTTTAATAGTTTTTTCGTTTATGTAAGTTAACGTATTTTTTATTTTAGTCTCTAAATTTATTTTTTTTAATGATATTTTTAAAGGTTGAGTTTTGTTTAGTTTTAGTCATTGACAATAACAATCCGTTACAAAAAAAAAAGTGGTAAACATCCGCCGGCATATCATGGGTGGATGAAATTAAAAAATATATATAATTTTACAAAAAAAACATCGTATTTTTCCTTCATCCATCTCTATTCTCCATTTTTTTCACCTTTAAATTCAATGATAATTTCTGATTAAATCCATTTCAAAATCATGATACTGTTTAAAGAAAAATTTCAAAAAAAATTCAATATGAAAAAATTATGAGTTTTTATATAAAAGTTATTGGAAATATAATTTAGTTAATGTTTACAATTCCCGATGTTTATTTTTTAATAGGGTCTTTTGGCATTTTCAATATTTAGTATAAATATGCTATACTAGTCTATCAGTATTGTACCTCTAATTTTATCTCCTCTATTTTTGATATACAACAATAGTTTTGTTATCATTCTTTTGTTCATTCTTCTTCTCCCGCTTCATTACCTTGCACAAATAAATTGGTATCTAGAGCACTTGATTATGTTTTTTCCTGAGAAACACGAGTGATTGTGAGCTGTGTGTTTGATTTTGGTTCATTGATTTTCTGTTGAAATCTTGAACAAAATCTGATTTTGTGGGTTGGGAAACAGTGTATTTGAAGATCTGAAAATCTGTACAAGGTTTAAAATGAGTGGAGGCAGTAGTTTGAACACCAAACTCCCAGTTTTTAATGGAAAAAACTGGAACAAATGGATGATACAAATGTGTGTGCTGTTTGGTGTGCAAGATGTTCTGGATCTGGTTACAGATGGTTATGTACCGGCTGCAGTAGATGCAACTGAAGAATAGAAAACTGCTGAGAGACTGATGAGGAAGAGGGACCAGAAAGCTCTGTTCTATATCCATCAGTGTGTGGATGAAAGTGTGTTCGAGAAGATTGCTAATTCGACAACATCAAAAGGGGCGTGGGATTTACTGGTGAGATGTTACGGTGGTGACTCATTAGTAAAGAAGGTGAAACTTCAATCCCTACGAAAGCAATATGAGAACCTGAACATGAAGAGCAGTGAGAAAGTTTCTGAATATATCTCCAAAGTAATTCTGATCACTAATGAGATGAAGGCGTGTGGAGAAACTCTGTTTGAACAGGTAATCATAGAGAAGATTTTGAGGTCGCTTACTCCTCAGTTTGATTACATTGTTGTTTCTATTGAACATTCTAAAGATCTGGAAAGCATGAGAATAGAATAATTGCAAAGCAGTTTAGAAGCACATGAGTTACGTCTGTCTGAGAGAACTTCTGAAAGGGAAGCTGAGCAAGCTCTGAAGGCTTCTTTTGTTAAGAAAGACCAGAAGCAGAATAAACGTGGTGATAGATTCCAGAAGTCAGAAACCTCAACTTCTGATGATAAGAGATATCATAAAGGAAAGGAGAGGTATGGCAAAAGGAAGGTTCAATGTTACTCTTGTAAACAATTTGGCCATTTTGCCAGAGATTGTAGGTCAAACAAGAAAAGGAAATCAAAAGAAGCGTATATGGCTAAGAGAAACTCTGACAATGAACCTCTGCTACTAATGGCTTCTACTTCTGATGAAAAATGCTCAGAATATTGGTGGTATATGGACACTGGTTGTTCAAATCACTTAACTGGAAACAAACAATGGCTGGTAGACTTTAACTCCAGAAGGAGAACAAAGATCAGATGTGCTAACGATAAGCATCTTAATGTAGAAGGTATGGGAGATGTCAAAGTTAGAGTGAATAATGGGAAAGACATTCTGATCAAAGACATTTGGTATGTTCCTGGTATTAGAAGCAATCTGATGAGCGTGGGTCAGTTGATTGAGAAAGGTTTCTCAGTTGTTATGAAAAAAAATCTCTTGACGTTGTATGATTCCAATCAGAAGTTGATTATGAAGTCTGAACAAGTAAGCAATAGAAATTTCAAAGTGAATGTAGAAACAACTGAAGCAACGTGTCTTAGTGCAGAAGGCGCTGAAGGTGAAAGTAAGTTGTGGCATAAGAGATCGGGGAACTTGAACTATAGAAGCCTAAGGAATCTATGTTCTAAGAAGCTTGTACATGGTATTCCAAAGATTGTGAATCCTGAAAAGTCATGTGAGATATGTATGAAAGGCAAAAAACCCAGATTTCCATTTGTATCAGAAGTAACCCCCAGAGCGAAGCATGCTCTGGGAGTAGTACATTCTGATGTGTGTGGACCATTTCCAGTACCTTCACTTGGAGAAAACAAATATTTTGTGTCTTTTATGGATAAGTTCACAAGAATGACATGGGTAACACTCATCAAGTCCAAGCATGAAGTGTTTACTGAGTTCCAGAAGTTCAGGGTGAAGGCTGAGAAGCAGAGTGGTTAGAAGTTGAAGATTATGAGAACGGATGATGGAGATGAGTATAACTCTACAGAGTTCCAGAAGTTCTGTGAGGAGAATGGAATAGAACATGAGGTTACTGCTCCATATACTCCTTAGCACAACGGTCTTGTTGAAAGAAGAAGCAGAGCTTTGCTTGATATGACCAGAAGCATGCTGAAAGAAAAAAAGTTACCTCGCGTGCTGTGGGGAGAAGTTATTGCCATATCAACATATATTCTGAACAGGTGTCCAACGAAGAAGCTGAAGGAAGTTGTTCCTTTAGAAAAATGGACTGAAGATAAGCAGTGTGTCAGTCATCTGAAGGTGTTTGGCTCTATCTGTTACAAACACGTTCCAGAAGCTAGAAGATAAAAATTGGATGGTAGAAGCAAAGTAATGTTGCTGGTGGGGTACCACAGTACAAGTGCGTATAAGCTTTATTGTCCAGAAACTAATAAAGTTGAAGTTAGCAGAGACGTTGTGGTGAAAGAGTCTGAAACATGGGATTGGAACAAGTCTCAATCAGATTCTGGTGTAGTGCCAACACCAGAGTTAGCCGTTGAAGATGCTTTAGAAAGTTCAGAAGATGAATCTGATTCTGAAGATTCTGAAGATGAGTCAGAAGAAGATTCTGATAATGGATCTGATTCTGATCCAGATGCTGATGATGATCCAGAATCTGGTGGTGATCATAGTTCTGGAAGGGAAAACTTTGAAGGTGGTAACTCTGAAGGTAGTAGTTCTGGTGCAACTTCAGAACAAGCTCAAAGACCACAGAGAATCAGACAAAAACCAAGAAGGTTTGTAGATTTTGACATGTTGCAGGATAATGAAGTTAACTCTGAAGGAGAAGTCATTCAGTGTGCCATGTTAGTAGATTCTGAATCAGTGGGCATTAAAGAAGCTCTCAAGAAGAAAGAATGGCTGAATGCCATGAAAGAAGAACTTTAGGCAATAGAAAGGAACAAAACATGGAAATTGACTAAACTTCTAGATAATAAAAA